TGAAGTTTATGTCGATCCAATCCAGGAAGTGATTGAAGATTTACTACTCCCAACTTTGTTCGGTCAATCAGAGCCTCTCCCTAACGAGGTGCGCAGACTTGCTACCTTAGCAACGGGTCAAGGGGTCTAGGCATTCCTGATCTGAAATCCGAGGCACCGCAGCAGTTTGCTGCCTCGAGACTAATAACCACCGCGCACGTAGATTCTATTACTTCACAGAGTTCCATCATGGTGCCAGGAGAAAGATCTACGGAGGAGCTAAAGAGGCATCAACAATCACTTAAGAGAGCAAGTGCCAAAGAGAAAATGCATAGCATTGATTCAAGCCTCTCCCCAGGCCTGCTGCATCTGGTTAATCAATCGAGGGACAAGGGCGCAAGTTCTTGGCTGAATGCGATGCCTCTCGCAGACAAAGGTTTAGCCCTCAACAAGCAAGAGTTCAGAGACTCGCTACGCTTGCGTTATGACTTGCCCTTAGTCGATTTACCAAGTCATTGCATATGTGGGGATAAATTCACCGTTAGTCACGCCCTCTCTTGTAAAAAGGGGGTTTATAGCGCAGAGACATGAGGGTTTACGGAACTTGTTAACGACATTCATCTACAAGATCTGCAATAATGTCGAAATCGAACCACGCCTTCAACCCCTGGACAACGAGCGATTTCATTTGAGGAGCGCTGTTACAAGTTCTGAGGCAAGGTTGGACATCAAAGCGGGAGGTTTCTGGGCAAGAGGAGTTACGGCATTTTTTGATGTTAGAGTTACGCACGTCAACTCCAAGTGTTACCAGAGCAAGCCAACATCGGAAGTGTTCAAAGAGCAAGAAGAAGAGAAGAAGCGCAAGTACCAGCAGCGAGTGTTAGATGTAGAAATGGGTTCGTTTACGCCTTTAGTGTTTGGAACCAATGGCGGAATGCGAAACGAGTGTCAGCGGTTCTTACAGCATCTCGCAGACAAGATAGCTCAGAAAGACACCGAGCCTTATCATGTTGTAATCACTTGGCTCAGGACACGGATCTCGTTTGAACTCTTAAGATCGGTACATGCATGTGTCAGAGGTTCGCGAACGCCGTTTCGTAGCAAGATAGAGCAATCATTAGACTGTAAAATAAATGTCGCTAGTGCGGATATCTGAAATACGTGTCTATATGCTTTTATACCTAGGGCTTTTTATGGACACTGGTTTAGCCGTCATTAGTATAATTCGATTGTATGATCTTAATATCTCTGCATAATGGAATTCTTTATTTTATAGAATTTTGAATTTTTATTATTAATTATATCTATTTCCTCTTCTTTTATGTAAGATTCAGTTACTTCTATGTTTTAGAATTTGTAATTTATGAATAGTTTCTTTCTTCACTCACGGATGGAATTGTAGATAGTGTTTTGATGAATTAATTAGATTTTTTGTAACAGCAGGTTGATTGTAAATAGGATTTTAATTGAGGTTTTGTAATAAAGATTTAGTAATGATTATAATGATAATGATAATGATAACGATAACGATAATAATAATGATAATAATAATAATGCTGATAACGATAACGATCATAATAATGATGATGATAATGATAATGATAACGATCATAATAATGATAATGATAATGATAATGATAATGATAACGATAACGATAGCGATAACGATAATACTAATGATAATAATAATGATGATAATGATAACGATAACGATAGTAATAATGATAATAAGGATGATAATGATAACGATAACGATAACAATAGTAATAATAATAATAATGATGATGATGAAGATAGTGCTAACGATAACGATAATAATAATGATAATAACAATGATGATGAAGATAATGATAACGATAACGATAACAATAGTGATAATAATAATGATGATAATGATAAAGATAACGATAATAATAATGATAATGATGACGATGATGATAATGATAACAATAACGATAACAATAATGATAATAACAATGATGATGAAGATAATGATAACGACAACGATAATAATAATGATAATAATAATGATAATGATAACCATAACGATAATAAGTAATGGTAACAGGACCGAGTGGAGTCCAATTCGGTCTGTAATCATACGAGTGATTAACAAAATCGGACGACCGCGTAGCGGGAGTCCGATTTGTTTAATCACGAGTATGATTACAGACCGAATTGGACGACACGAAGTTCTGTTACCAATTAATCATAACTTTAACAAAATTTGTAATATAATAGGCTATTTTTTAAATCAAAAGACAAGAAATTCGAAATTTTGTTTTGCTAGCAGTGAAAAAAAAAGACATTTAAGCGCGCGCGTGATGGCGCGTACTGTCCAATTACTTAGGCATGACGCGTACTGTCCTATCAAACTGTCCAATTAAGGCTGAAATCAGGGCAGTTGATAGCCAATCAGATTTGAGAATTTTGTTATAGTTATGATTATAATGATAATAACAATGTTGATGACAATAATAATGCTAACGATAACGATAATAATAATGATAATAATAATGAT